CTATTACTCCACTCCACTTCACACTCTGCGCTCCCGTCCGACTCTCGCAGTTTGTATTTATGAGAGAAGGAAGAGTTCATTATACTGTAAGAGGGTTTTACCACAACAGTCGTCTCCATTAGGTATACATGGAAGAACACAAAAACATTTGGCTTACGTCAGAGTGGATTACGTCAGAGACAGATTTTAGTTGGCTATAAGGAAAAAATATTTTCTATAAAATGATTTATATTAGTTGAATAATCTTAAAAATGACATCAACCATTAAACAAATAAGCAGTTTTGGGGGTATGAAAACAATTCAAGAGATTCATAGCAGTCCATGTAAGAGCCCTTATGGATGTTCCCAGGTCAAGAACAGAACGTGTCTCTAAACAGGTAGATCCCTGAAAAAGATATAAAAATAATTCATTTTGAAAATATTAACAACTAGCTTAAAAGCTGCCCTATTGGGCAGCATTTAATCTAGCTCCTGCGGAGAGCTTTTGATTAGGCCTTTATCATAGTAAGTAGGGAGGAATAGATGAAATAAGCAACAATAAACTACAAAAAAACTCAAAATTGATCATTGAATTTTAGAATTGCATTAATATTTAAGCTTACTTTTTGAAAATTGAATGATAATTCTTCTGCCAGCATTTAATTTAAAGACATTTTGATGTATTTAGGTCCTTACTTTCCATACAGGCAATTACTTTTATTTCATGGGTGACTTTCGCTGGATTTTGCAATTAATTTTGATTATTCCCAAATTTATTTCTAAATTATTGTACAAAAAAATTCATTGCTAAAAATCACATAAAAAATTACTGAAAACAATCTCAGTAATGAAAAATTGAGAATCCAAAATTTCAGGATTGTGAGTCTGTTTTTACTTTCCTTACAGAGTTTGCCTGATTCCAAAATGGTATGATATGTTAGGCTATATCCTCTAGGAATAAAGTTGAAGTTGGACAATTTTATTTTGAAACACTGTAGTTTGAGATCAGTAATTTTTTCATTTGAACATGAGCTATTAAAAAGTTAGAGAGTTGTGTCCCTTTAATTGCTTTTATCAGTAGAAGCCAAGATGGTAGACTCCAAAGACAATTGCAGCAATGAAAACTTGGAAATCTAAATTTCTGGATTGCAGGTCTGGATCTGGTTTGGATTGTTTTTAATTTGCTCATGGAATTGGCCTGATTCCAAAATGGTATGATATGTTGGGATAGATCCTCTAGGAAAAAAAATGAAAAAGTGTGACACACTGACATTCGCATTTATTATATAATATATATACAGGGTGGGCCAAAAGTAAGTATACTGTTGTTTAATTATATACTGATGTACCTTTTTATTTTTTTACATAGTATTACCATAATTCAGAAACAGCTAACTCAGCTGAATCATTTTTTCAACAAGATGGACCACCTCCTCATTATGATGTTTTGATAATAAAAGACTACCTTGACCAAAAGTTCCCATGATGTTGGATTGAACAATGTGGTAGCATTGAATGGCCACCATGTTTACCTGACTAATGGACTTCTTTTTTGTGGGGTATAGTAAAGAATAAATTTTATGAGAACAATCCCCACATGGTAAACAAACTAAAAAGTTAATCTTGGAAGCATTTATTGACATTGATGGGGATTAGAATTTGTATTGTGCATCCCAGTGTTCTGGTGTGGTTTGAGGAATGTTGCAAGGTTGAAGGAGGACATAATTTCAGTGTTTGAACCAGCTTCTAATGCTCTGAGCAGGAGGGAAAAGAAGATGCTGTTCATAGGGGCACAATCATATGGGAAAGGTATTCTTGGATGAGTTACACCATGGAAAGTGAGAGTAGCACTATATCGAGTCTAGTTTGTCATCTTTTTGTCACTGAGTCCTTTTGGTACAGTTGGTATGTTGCTTGTGCTGTATCGTAACTGTCTGGGTTCAATTCTCGGTAGTGGATGTGCACTGCTGATGAGTCCCAAAATAGGGCAAAATGGCCATCCAGTGCTTTCTACATTCTGTTGAGGATTCTTCTAGATTTGATGAATTAATTGGATTTGTATAATAATAATAATTTCAGTTATATATATATATATATATATATATATATATATATAGGGTATCCAAAAATAATGTATACACTATTTAAATATTAATAGTTAATAATACTTTTTTTCTATATGCAAAACAGATGGATTGAAAGAAGAGGGACAGTTGAATACCTGCCTAGATCACCAGATTTGACACCCTTGGATTTCTTTTTGTGGAGGTTTCTAAAAGACAAAGTTTACAGCAGGAAACCTGAAACAATTACTGAAATGAGAGTAGCAATTGAAGAAGAATTTGCTCAAATACCAGAGGAAATGATACTGGACATTTGTATGTCTATTTCTTCAAGATATGAAAAGTGTATTTAACAGAATGGCAACCAGTTTGAGCACTTGATGTGAACTCATCATTATATGAACATTCTGCCATTGCCCCAAGTAGCTTTTATCTTAAGTTAATTTTCTATGTTACATAAATTGAATAAGTTATAATGATTCAAAGAGTGTATACATTATTTTGGGACACCCTGTGTGTGTGTATATATATATATATATAATGTGAAAATATATAGAAAATAGAAAAGAACTGGTTAGGTAAATAATTCAAAGTTCCTTAGTATTTTTGTTATTATTTTTTAAAAATAGTGTTCGATACAAAAGTAGAGCATAAATATAATTATTTATTTAAAAATATGATTCCAACTTGCGACATAAGAGGTCTCATGTTTCAAAACAAGAGCCGAAAACTTCAATATAATTATTTGAATTAAATTGAATTAAAGTAAGCTCTGCTCCATCTTCAAGCGAAATTTTTTTTTGGAATAACTTATTTCTGAAATTTACGTGTTTTAATAGTATATTCATAATTGAAATCAAAATTTCCATGCTAACAGCCAGGGCTGATTGTTTAAACTAGGTAGAGGCGTGTTGGGTGTTAATAATACGTATCAGTATAAAGTTACTTTCATAGATGTCAAGTCGGGGTAAGGTGGGGGTGTCTAAATTTGAAACGGAAGATGTTTTCGCCTAGTCTGGTTTACGTGTCTATGGAGATTTATTTATTTTTTTATTTAATTTCTTTATGAAAACAAGGGAAAACAAAAGTGTACCAATGTGATCAGTACAGAAAACATTTATTAAATATTAATTATTAACCACAAGACAGAAATGAAGCATGGAGATTAAGGTTACAAGTCCAGAATTTTCGGGCAGTAGGGGAATGCGATTTTGAACAAAGGAGAAGAGGGTTGTAGGATTTTCTGACAATGGTTTTCCAAAAGAATTTTTTATCAAGATGTTTTATCCATTTTTTTTTTTTTTTTGCTGTTCCGTTTCTCTTTTTTCTCTTTCATTTTATTTTTATTACCTTTTTGCCTTTTCACTCTTTTCCTATCTTGCCATATCTATCAACACTGACCACATACGAGGCATCTTCCCCAGCCTAGATAATTTGGACTTATAACCTTAATGTCTGTGCTTCTTTTCTCTCTTGTGGCTAATGATTAAATTAAATGTTTTTTGTACTGATCACATTGGTACACTTTCGTTTTCACTTGTTTAATTAACCAATCTATCTATTTTATATATATGTGTGTCTGTGTAATATATATATACTTTCCTAATGGTGTGTTTATGAAAAAATTAATATGCAAAAATTCACCTTTCTCACTGCTGAGCGTTGATAGCCTAGAGGTTAGAATCTCTGGCTTGAAGTAATCAGATGTCTAGTCACACTGAGGAGCTGTGAAACAGTCTGTCTGTGGATGACAATATATATATATATATATATATATATATATATATATATATATATATATATTATAAATTAATTGATTTAAAATGTTTTTTTTCGCTACATAGTTCCAACCATTAAATTAAAAGCATTAGTTCCATTTCATCTTTCAAGCGAAGATGAAATGGAATAATGCTTTTAATTTAATTGCAAAATTAAATTCGGGGTTTTAGCTTCTATTTTTGAAACATGGTTGGAAATGTGTGCGAAGCGAAAAAACATATTTTAAATCAATTAATTTATAATATTAATGCTCTGTAAATTTACATTGAGCACTATTTTGTAAAAATAAAAATATCTATAAGAACACCGGATTTTATATCTTACTGTTCTTTCTTTTTATTTATATACATATATATATATATAATAAATGCGAATGTCACTGTGTTACACTTTTACAACTTTACTCCTAGAGGTTGTGGCCAACGTATCATATCATTTCGGAATCAGAGTGACTCCTTAATCAAATTAAAAATGTTCTGGGCTGGATCTGGACCCACAATCCAGAAATTTTGAATTTCCAAGTTTTTATTATTGTGATTGTTTTCAATGATTTTTATTGATATGATTTTTTGGACAATTTTTATAACTTGGAAATAAATTTGGGAATAGTTGAAATTAGTTGCGAAATTCAGTGAAATTCACCCATGAAATAAAAATAATTGTTTGTATGGAAAGTAAGACTTATGTGCATCAAATTGTCTTTAAATTAAGTGGCGGCAGATGAATTATCATTGAAATTTTAAAAGATATGCTTAAACATTAATGCAATATTTAAATTTTGAGTTCTTTAATTTATTATCTATTGTATCTACTTCTCCTACCTATTGTGATAAAGATCCAATCAAGAGCCCTTTGCAGGATCTAGCTTAAATGCCACCTAATAGTAACCTAGTATATATATATATATATATATATATATATATATATATATATATATATATATATATATATATATAATTTTTAGGTAATTATCAAATTTGAAAATCTTTTCATTAACAACAATAACCCTTTGTATGCTACTGTTCAGCTATTTCTTTATTATTTTGTCCTGTTCATTATTGTCAACTGGTCTACTCAAAAATATGTTCACTTGTTTCATTTTAAAAAAATCCTTAATAAGAATTTTAAACAATCCCAACTTTTCAGTAAATGTTTCTCGTCTGTATCTGTCTTGTCAGTGAGAATCACAGGAATCGGATGAAGTCGGTCGCTTGGTTGTGAGTAAATTCAAATTTTCTGTGACAACTATATTTCTATAAAAAAAATAATTACATTTATTTAAGTACATTTATTCACATTCACTTCTGTAAATATCTATGCATATTTTGCTTCTTTATCATTTTCAATAAATCACAGGTAAATATTTGTATGCAGGTATTTTTTTTTAAATCTAAGCTTCTTAGATTTGAAAAAAAAACATTCTTTATAAAATTCTAACAATCTTCTTTTTATAAGTTTTTGAGCTGCTTGCAAGTAATTTTTGTTTATCAAATTTTATATTTTGGTAAATTTATGTATGGCGAATGCTTTGCAAAGTTACTGTATATTTCCTCATATAAAATGACCTTTTAATCCCCAAAACCACACTTAAAAATTGGGAATCGTTTTATATTACAGTTCTAAAAAAGAAAACTTAAATTCTGAGTGATGTTAGGCTAACGTCAGCCTCAGTGTGATAACCAATAACATACATGAAAAGATTCACATTATCAAATAAACTAATTATAAAAGTAATAAAACCATTTCTACCTTATATATTACTGGCATAATTTTATAATAAATTGCCTATTTGAAGAATAATTCCATATCAATGAAATCAACTTGTATCCATGCAAGCTCAGCTTAGAAAATGTAAACTTCAAGTTATGATTGCATTCACAGCAATAGAATGTACTATTATTGTACTGTTATTAGTGATATTTTGTGATTGTTGATGAAGTATAAGTAAATGGCCATTAGTGCACCAAGCTGTTTGTAACTGTTTAGATATAGGAAATGAAAAGGAAGAAGAATAATCAGTTTTCATAAAAGGTCACGTGATGAAACGTAAACAAAACAATGATTTCCCTTTTAGGGGACAGGTGTAGGAAAAACATGATATAAAATCATTTTAGTTATTTCATTTTTTTTTTAATTTCTAAGAATACAGTAACAACATTTCCAATAACATCATCTTTATATAATCAATAAGCAGTTGTCTTATACTACAGATATAAGATAAATTCATGAAAATTTGCTATATTTTTTTACCTTGTCTTATCTAAAGGTCACATTATATGTGGAAATATATTGTATTTCTTAAGTCAAATTCAAAATTCCTTAGTACACCCTCACAAAAGAAAATTAAAAAATATATTACAGAATTGAGCCATTTTAAAAAGAAAAGGTGTTCATCTATCTCCATTTATGGCAGATAGGAGGCTAACATAAGATATCATATTTTCTTATATATAATATGAGAAATTTTGAAAGAAAATTAAAAGCAAAAAAGCTACCCCGAACAGCCACCCTTCTAGATCCTTTTGTACTAATGCATGTGTCCCCCAGGCCTCTATCTATGGACCTACTTTGTTCTTATTTTTCATCTACAACCTTTCTGAAAAGTATCACTTCTCAAATTGGTATCTATGCTGATGACACAATCATTTACTCCTGTCTTAATAGTAAGTCTAATCAGTTCCATAAGGTTAAATTGGCAGCTGATCTCAAAAATGATCTCTGACTTCTCTCGATTAATCATCTGAGAAACTCCTTTCTGCCTTCCATCAGCATGGTTGATGCTAACCCCCAGGAGTGAATCATTCTGCCATCTCAAGTTAACATTCTGGACTGACATGAAGTGGAAAGACTATATTGAATCCATTGTTAGGTCAGCTGCTGAGAAAGTTGTTTCACTGTGTCATGCAAGACACTTTTTCTCTCCAGAATCCATCCTAGATATCTGTAACTATATTATTTATCCATGCTTAGAATATTGCTACCACATATTTAAAGATTCTTGATAAAAGAAGAATCAGCAATATTATTGGTCCTGACCTGGTATCTCAGTTTCAGTCACTTTCCTTCACCATAAAGTTGCTTCCCTGTGCCTTTTCTATAAATACTTTCATGGTCATTGTTCAGATGAGTTCTTTGCTATGATACCTACACTTTATGAATTTAAGCACAGTACTAGATTGGCAACCAGGTCTTATCAATTTACAGTTGCAATGGCTAGATGTAACTATAAATTCTATGCTAACAGTTTCTTTTCTCACACTTCTACCTTGTGGAACTCTTTTCTGGCTCCAATCTTCCCAGCTAAGTTTGATCTTGAAAAGTTTAAATGCAATGTCAATCATTATCTACTGTCTTCTTGATTATTTTTCTAGTGTTCTTGCTCCTTAATAATGCTTCCGTTTCCTAATTCTTTCACATCCAGTAACCCCTTGTGTCTTTAATGCCTTGCTTGGAGGGAATTTGATTAAAGAAAAAAGAACAGTGGGAGGATTGTATTATATACGAGTACATGTTTTCAGGATTTTTTACTCAGGTTAAAAGGCTTATTTGTAACAGCATGATTACAAATACATTCAATGCAATAGATATAAAACACAAAGCAGGTTGGTGTTGGTTGATAATTCAGAATTTTTTTCAGGAGAAGCTGAGAAAGGGACTTGGGAATACTGAGTGATTTGATAGTGTATGACTCATTTCTATTTGGACCAGCATGCACATCTTGGTGACTATATTCAGAACACTTTGGCTGCAGTATTCTCTGGCCTTCTTAGTGTATACATATAACCTCATATGTTATAATGAAAGAAAAAAAAATTCTGAGTGCTTTAATTAACATACTATTTGAGTGTGAAATTCTGTGTTGTCTTTTTTCTTTATGGCTTTTCTAGAAGCTCATAAATTTTTATATGATTAGGCAATGTATGTTTGGGGTCTCAAATACATGGACTATCTTTCTGCAGCCTGTTGGGAACCATTTTAGTAACCAATATTTTCCTCAAATTTGAATAAATTTGTCTCTTGCCCATTCCATATCAGCATACTCACTCACCCAAATAGTAAATGGTGTGAAACGATTGACCCAAAACAGCCCAGACTGAAGGAAAACCTTTTACCTTGTTTGAGAGCAAATGGTAGTTATTGCAACTCTATTTAACATTACTGATAAGTTTGAATTTAGTAAAAAAAAAAGTAATATCTTTGTTCACATTTTGTACTTGTATACTCAACTATCATAGAGAATACCAAGTGTTGTAAGCTTGGATGTGCAGGTGGTGTAATGGATAATAACTCGGAATTGTTAGTTGGAGATCTGAGTTCCAGTTCCAGTTGGGTTTGTTATATTCACTTATGAGCAAACACACTTGGGAAAGGTATGAATCTACCTCTTCTCCCCCAAACTATTAATTAGTAAGAGTTTTATTATTAAACCATTATTATCTCAAAAAACATTCTTACAATCTAAAAATATTTTCTGGCTTCAAATAACCTGCTTGTTGATAAGCCATAGAAAACATCAATCAATCAACAATCCATCAATTATAAGAGCACATTCATTTTGATTAATAAACAGCAGCCAATCAAGTGATTAGATGATAACTATGAGAGTTCAATATTATGTCCCTCACACATTTTACTTCTGGCCATACTCTAACCTTGCCATGAGATGCCTTCAGAAGATTGCCCCTCATCACCAAATAATGTTTATCTCTATCATCTGTGAATGTTATGGAAACTAATTTTAATGCAAGAAAATGTGCTTCTACTAGTGAGCCCCCTCTGGACTTGATGCTACTCCCATTGGGGTTGATGCCCTCCCTATTGGTAACACCCTGGCGATTGGATTGTTTCTGGCCTACTGCACTTCTGCCTTAGCCCTTTTATGTCGTTAAGTTTGAGACCCCTTGTCTATGATTTGTCATGAACCTTATGATAGGATTTTAAAATGTCTCAAAAAGATCTCAGTCTTCTAGCAGGAAACTGGGATCCAATTAATACACTTGATCGTGTAAAGAACAACAGGCAATATGTATGTGTTATAGATTTTACTTTTGATTCAATTAGATGTAAGTAATTCTTTATAGTTTTCAAAGGCAACACACCTTAAGTTAATCTTATGTGCTATGTGTTAATTATGTTGATTTATATTTGATACTTATAAATTTAAATTAAGGAACTCTGACAAGTGATAGAGAGAGAATTATTTATTTGACGTGCTTCGTTCTCTATGTGGGTTCCCAGTGAAAGATGGCTGCTCCCCTTCTAGGTAGGAGAGTTTCCAAGGGGAGCAACTCATAAAGATTAAAACTTATGAGTTGATTTTCCTCATTTTCCATGCTTGTCTATGTTAGAGAACTGAAATCGTTAGAGAATATGTCCTGACTAGGCAGCAAAATAATAACCTCTGTAGATGTTGATGTCCCCCTCCCCACCCCCAAAAATTGTGTTGTATTTTTGTATAAATCTGCCTCCTTTTTTCAATACATTCTGAAACCAGTGTAGCATTTATTTGTAAAGTATTCACTCTCTCTTCCTCTTTTTGCTCTGGGAGAGACGCGTGATAACATAGACTCTTCCTCTCTAGAGAGACTTAGCATGGCTAGCTGACTACTTAATTTCCATCCATCCATGATGCAAACAGACTACTGCTAATACCATAAATGTTTTCTTTTCTATTTTGCACTATCTGTATACATGTAAATACAATTTTCTCTTTATCATCTTGTGTTAACAATGTTGTTCTTATATATATATATATATATATATATATATATATATATATATATATATATATATATATATCACACAGTATTGGGGAAAGGTATGACAAAATGGAAAAAGTTTATTTTTTATGTGTTTCGTCCTTCAGGACTTCATTGGACTAAATTTGTTATATTGATAGGACAACACATGTGCATGATCACACACACACATATATGTTATACTGGAACACACCTATTCTATTGTTAATAGACTCTCCCACCTATAATAAGTAGGAGTAGTAGCAGTCGACAGTCGCTCAGTGAGTTGGTGAGTCAGTTGATGTCGGACATTAAAGTATCAGCCACCACAAACTAGATTGCTGTGTCATTAACTATTATATCAAGTTCCTAACGTTTTGTATGTCGAACCTTTTTAGGACCGACTTAGTGAAATACAAGCCTCCACTGTGAAACTACTCTATAACAATATATATATTCTCATGATGTTGAATTTGTTT